AAAAAAAAAAAAATTTAAATGGGTAGTAAACGGGGCAAGGACCCTACCCCGCCTTAAACGGGTAACGGGGCTGGGACGGGGACAGGGAGGGCCGCCCCGCCCCGTTGCCATCCTTATGTTTCATATGTTGTGACAATAATACATTCTCTTTCTTATTAGTACAACATAGGCTCTTGGCAAACATAAATGGAAGGCTTATCCTCGAATCGAAAGGTATGCGAAACAACCCTAGAGACAGAGTGCTTTACAAGTGTAATGAACGAAATGAACTATAGGAGCGAGCCCCTCAGAGGAATGTTAAATAGTCCATCTCAGAATGAAATAAGAGATAGCATCACTTCGTTCCGTTGCACAATAACTAATGACCGCCATAAAGTTTAGTTGGTGATCTTCAACCACCAAACATGTGTGTGTATTTCGTCAATATTGAATGAGACATTAATCAAACAAGAAATTTAATGATCCTCTCGTGGTTTCAATAGGCCCTTATCATCATGGAAATCCTGAGCTCGAATCATTGGAGAAACTCAAAATCATATATGCTCAGCAATTTGTTCGTGCCTGTAGTGATCACATATCGGTCAAACAGCTATATGAACAGGTGGCGAAGGTAGCAGACAGTGTTCGTGAATGCTACAAAGAAGGCTTCATCGGAATGATGCTTCTTGATGGTTGCTTCGTCATTCAGTTCATATGCATCTTAACAAATACAGAAAGTAATAGTTCTGATAATACAGAAACAGAACCAAAAGAAGGTGATTTGATATTGGAGACATAGTGTTACCTCACCTTATTTTTGGTACTCTTACACTTCTCCTATCAAGGTTGATGATTCAGAAAAACCTTTGCTATTAAACTTAGCGGATTATGAATTTAGTCCACTTGACCCTTCAGACCTGCACATTACACGGTAGATCTGGCTTATGGATTCACTCACTGATCACATAGAGAATGTTAAAATGCTCTGGAAGAAGGGCTTGAACAATTTAGGTAATGACAAACAACTGACATAACTCTTTAACGAAATAGCTAATGATTGGTGCCTGATCCTTGCGCTTATGCAGATGCTAAGTAGCAGATTGAAAAGTACTCCAAGAATAAAAGCTGAGTATGAATGCACAACCATTTTAGCAACCCTTTGGGCTGTCATGGCTTTTCT